TTACAAAGCTAAAACGATCAATGTTTTTAAGTACACCATTTAAAACTTTTTTTTCTGAGACCATCAGCGGTCTCAAAACAGACACTACATGTTTCGACGTCCAATGACGTCATCCTCATGAGTGTAAAATCAAAATCAGTACATACACTGTTTAAATATCCCTAAAACAAATTCTTAATGTTCTCGAACAACTTAGAATCGTAAATGAAAAGAAAAAAGATAAAAACTTTCAAAACAGTAATTCGAGTAATAAATTACCACAAACTCCTTATTCCTGTAGTTCAGTGATGCCAGTAAGCATTGGTATGTAACACGGCATACATGTAATGCTTTTATACAACCGTACTGGAACAGCAAAAAACAGTGTGATTTAAATTAATATCAGTGTCATTATGATGTAATACAACACAACCTGTTAATATTATTGTTTAAACTTTTAGAAGTTATATGATAACAATCTTAAACACTTTCACTCAACGCCACAGCCCACCAGACAGAAGATGCTACAACATAAAAACCTTAATTGAAATGAGATTTGTATCAATCGTTTATGAGGCAACTCTTAAGATGTAGGACGCACATTTAGGTTGGTAATACTGTATACATGGCATTACACTCTAGTAGTAATAAATATATATATACTGTCTCATATGTAACGTAAGTTTACAAAAACTGGGAAAAGAGAGATATTACTATTACGTAATAAATATGTAGAAAAATGCAAAGGTGATAAAATAAAGAGATTAGACTTTTGGATATAAATCGGCTTTAAAAACTATAGAAGTAATATATTTTCTTGGCGAAGCTCTTTTTCAAGCCAGGTTTATCCTAATCTGTAGCTCAGCACTTCAGCAAAGCCGAACATTCTCTAGAGCACTTTAAAATACTTGCCCTACGACACGCCCCCTTCCAACACCAATCAAAGAACCACAATCGAAAAAGAAATAATATTTTAGAAATTGAATTGGGTATTAACGAACGGTTCAGCTTTTTATAATTCTTTTAAATACCTTTCTTTTACTACCTTAAAATGCTATTTCTTTCTTTGTTATGTAAGGTTTTCTGTATTTCTAATAACTTTAATAAAATTGTTTAATCACTAGCTTTATTATATTGTTTTTACCATATTGTTTAATTCTCGTGGTTCTATCTCGCGTTACATTCTGTTCTCGTATGTTGTTTCATTTCAAAACGTTTCTGTAATTGTCATTAACCGACAAGCTTGTTTTTCGCTTGAAAAAGAGCGTCTGCTCTAAACTTCGCGAAGAAAATAAATTACGATCATGGTTTTTAAACGTGATTTATCTCCAAAAGTCTAATTTCTTTATTACGCAAGTTATACTATGTCAAGCGTCATAAAAATTTGTACGATCAAAAATGATAGTTTTAGTATCATGTATGACATGTCTGAAGGCAGAAAGTCTTGTCAACTTGTGTCATCAGATGGGAAAACGAGTATGATTAATAGACTTTTTTATTAAGCCATTCACCATATATATACTAATATGGTATATAATTTAGTAACTGGAGCAGCTAAATAATTGTTTAAGTTGGGAACCGAAAAGTTAGCACACAGTATTTAATCCTTCTTATTTTCTAAAGCTCAAGTTGAGTTTCTAAATAACTAAACATATTAGGAAAATTGATGAGTGGTTTGACAGCTACAGACGAAGAACTCATCCGCGAAAGGTGAAGCATATATTTGTTAATGTTGGATATTTTGGATCAGCCGAGAACAACAAGCTGTAACTCTTATCACCCTAACCAGGTCGACAGTGGAGAATGTTATTCAAACGAGCTTATATATGTATAACAACTAGTTAGCAACTGGCGTGGTGTTAAAACATCCTTTGGCAACAGTAAGTGACACAAATAAAATACTGTTATGGAAGATTCAGTAACTGTATCGCTTTTTAAGTGATCAAAAAAGATTAAAATCAAAAGTTGTCATAGACTTGCGGTTTCAGATTAAAGCTCCATTCTGATAAAAGATGTGATAGAGAAATTACACCACTGAAGGTATAAATAAGTAAATAATACTTAAATAAAAAATTAGAATAGGCACTCATTTAGGTTCAACCATGGTATCGTTATTTTTACACTCCTAAAGATGTGATATCACAAGCGCAGGTGGTATTGACAAAAAAAAAAAGATACAACACAAAACAAAGGTACAAACTACATGTACAAATTGTGTAACAGGTATACACCAAGAGGAATAGATGATGATTGCTGTTAACATATAATTTTCGCACTAGTAGGCAGCGCGCGTGAATACATACCTCGCATTTTTTCTTCTAAAACTTAATATTATTTATGTGCGTCTAAAACAAATATACCCTAAAAGCAGTGATACATTGCCATGAAAAAACATAGTATTTAAGCAAGATAACACATAGAATAGGATAGTGTTATATTGAATTTACATATATATGAATCTTCAAACATAACCATAAAAAATGTACGAAGTAATTTGAGATTAATAATAAAAGAACACAATATCGTGTATAGCAATTACAGAAACTATATCAGATTTCTGACAGTTTGTTATGTTTACTGTGGATTTTCACTAATTTCAGATTATCTGAACATCTGTACTCTAATTCTATAAAAAAAAATCTTACAGAATAACAAAAATAAAAAGGATGCTACATTTTTATGTTTATGTTCGCAGATTCATATATAAGTGAAGTCAATATAACACTTTCATATTCAATACATTACTGCTATATACTAAAGACAAAAACAGTTTTTAAGGCTCAACATGAGCCAGACCATTGGTACTTAATATTGGTTGAACTTTGTATACAAAACTTGGATACTTATATCTCTGGAAATATGAGAAAAATGACTAAATAATTCACTTTTTATGCACCAAGAATACCTACTGGTAAAAACATTAGAAAACGAAACATCCAATAAGAAGAGGCTAAATTATTTTTTACGAGTTTTATGTTCCTGGAGTAAAATTATTTATTGAATCATTCACTAAAGTGATCACAAAATCGTCGATATCATTCAGAGCATACAAACTAACAAAAATATTAACAGCATTAGTTTTCTACTTCCTATTTCAAAATGTACTACAGTCCAATATTATTCAAATTAGCAATCTAAAGCGAACCTATTAAAACATATCAAAATTCAATAATGACTTCACTGAATGTTCAGCTTTTTATGAACTCATAATAACACTGATGAACTTGCGGAGGTTAGTGCCTCTTCAATGAATACGTTGGAGAGAAGTATGTTTACGCCTCCAGCTCCGAGTCTCTTTAAGCCTTATAAAAGATACATTTATATAATGAAATATTTCACATATTATTACGCTGATTGTTTCCTTTCTCACGCTGATAATTTTAAAACGCAATGTGTAATACATTTAAAAAAGAACTATTTCTGAAACCCTAATAACAAAACCTGCAGGAGGGGGGGGGGGCATACCGCAAGGAAATAAATTGGAGTGATAAAAATAGCGTATGGATTTATTAATCAATCTTCTTGCCGAGGACTGTCAAAGATGTACAACATCCTAGTACAAATCTGTGAGCATCAGGTTTCTCATTTACAATTAAAAGTGCAACAAACCAAGTTCGGTTAAAACAAAACTCACACACCAATAAAACAACTAAAGTCACAAGAAAAATTAATTACATAAATTGGAGGACTTATTTTGGTAAGTGTCATGCAGTAATTGAGCTACAATGTTTTTAACAAATGTGGTTAATGAAAGTTAGATTTCAACACATCTTATAGAAAGAAAGAAATTCGGGGGGGGGGGGTTGTTAAACATAAAGCTAGGAAATGAGTTATTTTTGCTCACCATAGGTATCGAAACTCGATTTTTAGCGTTATAAACCTTCAGACTCAACGCTGAGCTACCAAGGAACCAAAAATAAAGACTTAATGAACTCCCCCTTCGTATCCGTCCTAATCGAAAAAGCTTTCACCGTCTATAAACGTATTTCGTATGAGAACTATTAGTTTAGAATAGTTTAAATATCGATATGTGTGTGTGTTTTTCGGTTTTGAAAAACTACACTTACACGTAGCACCACCTGAATGAAAATAACGACGCACATATAATCTTAGGACTTCTAACAATGGAAGTAAAGCACTGACAAATAGAAAGTGAACGACATTTTAGGTGTAACTCCTCTATCACTACCTTTCTACCCTAAGAATAACATGCAGCATAGGTTTACAAAACAAGTGCGAAAGGAAAGTATTATTATTATACAGTGATAATGGAAGTAAAGCACTGACAAATAGAAAGTGAACAACATTTTAGGTGTAACTCCTCTATCACTACCTTTCTACCCTAAGAATAACATGCAGCATAGGTTTACAAAACAAGTGCGAAAGGAAAGTATTATTATTATACAGTTCATACTACGTCCAGTGTTACAAAACTTTGTACGATCAGAAGTAATCGTTTTAATATCACATATTTCCTGCCTGAAGAATATATGATAAGAAAATAACTGTACAGAAACTATTGACGTTAATGCATATAAACATACCAATTATTTCTTGTATATTGTTTAAATTTTCAATTTAGAAACGTGCATCCTAGATGAATTAAATTGAAAATGATTTTAGAACAAATTACACGGTTACCGCTTTACAACAGAATGAAGATCAATGTCCGCAAGAAGAGGTTTATATATATATAATCTACAACTGATTGGCCAGTTTCTGTGTTCTAAGTGGTCATTGGTTATTAATCTGCTAGTAATATTTCTGACCGCCTCCTAGATGAATTAAATTGAAAATGATTTTAGAACAAATTACACGGTTACCGCTTTACAACAGAATGAAGATCAATGTCCGCAAGAAGAGGTTTATATATATATAATCTACAACTGATTGGCCAGTTTCTGTGTTCTAAGTGGTCATTGGTTATTAATCTGCTAGTAATATTTCTGACCGCCTCCTGCTTTCACGACCTGACGACATACATAGACGAGTCAGAGCCGGATGATTTGGAATAGCGATCGAAACAAAAGTGATGCGAGCGCCTCTTTCTCCATTCACTTGCGCTGCGGAATCCACTCCATCAACAAGTGAGCTTGCGACCTTCTCACAGCGGACAGACAAATAAAGAACCATAGTAGGTGAGTTTCGTTTTGTAACGTACCTTTCTTGTTAGTCGTTGAAAACAATAGTTATGCTATAAAACTGGCTCATTCTGTTACGAATAGAAATTGGAGTACTTATAAACTTTAGGTGTTTTCATCAACATGGCGATTACGCTTTAAATAGTTAACATTCACTTGCACATTCGCGCAAAATATATTGAGATTATACAAAAGAAAGCTATCTAACTGTAACCTGTCTCTTCAAACATTTACAGTAACTCAAAGTATACCAGGTGTAAGAAGGGAAGACTACGTATTAACATCTGAAAGACATATAAACATTGCTAGGAGTCAACCTTGGTGTTGTCAGAAACAAGTGTGCCAGATTTTATCCAAAGTCTCTAACAATTGAAAGATTACAAAAAATCAAACGTATCGCGAATTTAAGCTGTTTAGACACAAAAATGTTAGAGATAAATATTTCGCTGTGTTCTTTTTATCTCTAAATATATCATTTTAGATGTAAATCAGGTTTCGTTATTCCTGGTGGACAGAGTACAAATAGCCCATTGTGTAGCTTCGCGCTTAACGACAACTAAACCAAAACCATTTTTATTGTTTATAAATGAATTCCATTACTTTATTGGATAATTAATAAGAGCCCTATAACTATTTTCATGTCAAAATGAAATCATTGATTCAATATTTATTTATCACACCAGGAGGCTAGACAACACCATTTATATGTATATATGAGTGCAAACAAAAATTTATTAGCAATTGTTTAATGTACTTTTAGATAAATAAATGTAAAAGGTATTATATAGATTGAATACGTCATATTAAAATGATTATAAAGCCTCAACACGTCGTTACAGTCTATGTTGCGACTTCCAATCGTGATCTATCTGATGACCTAGAATAACCCTCCAGTGTAGTTTCCATTGCAAAATTCTCCTTCGTAAGATTTTCATGTCCGAAACACACCACCCCTCCCTTAACACCTTCCACAATCCATCTAATGTACGAAGAAGACGGTTTTCCAGCACCCATTCAAACAGTCTGATCGCGCAGAAATCCATGGGTGCTGCGTCAGACGTATTGACCGGTGTGTTTTCGTATGAAATAGCATAAATACCCGTTCATTCTCTAGCCACTTAGGATATGTTATGATTGAACTGAAAGTATGACTTGATGCCATACCCCGTTGTCTTCGTTTCCAGACGAAAATCCTTCCTGATTATGTTGCGTAATGTTTACTCGATACATGGACGGCTTTTGTCACTGATCTTGCATTTTTCTTACCACAGCCGCGGTAGGACTTCTTGCAAGTCTCTTTCTGGATTGTTCTGTTGACATAAATTCATCCATATTCCTTTGTCTTCCAACGCCATCAAGTGTAAAGATATCCCTGTCTTCGAAATTCTAAATCCACAAGTTGAACACATCTTTATGATTTAAGCATATGAATATTCTGCACCGGAAAGAATGTTACATACTCTTTTCCCCCAAACTATCAATTTACTATGGAATTACACTATCTAGGCAAATTTAATTCTGATAAATGCCGGTTCACCCCAGCTATATATCGGATGTGGTCGTCACAAGAGTAGTTGATTTGTATATTCAAAATCGTTTCAATAAAAACAAGCTCAATCATCTGTATTATTGTATAAACACATTATTCAGGACAGAATGGGTCATTTGCCTCTTCTTTTGTCTGAGTTATCTTAACATTCAAGTAAACAAATCTTACGGTCTATTTGGTTTCATTAGAAAGAAAGAAGAAAAACAGAAGATAATTGTTGACATAAATAACAAGTAAACATTTTTTTGGCTTATTTGAAGCACATTAAGAATATACTGATACAAATTTCTTGTAATATAATCCTAATTATTAATAATTAATAATTAAAATATGCCGATTATTTAGTATTTTTATAACAAACACCAGCACAATATACTTGATGGTTATACTTAATTATTAAAGGAATGTCTTATTTCTTACCTTTTTTCATATAAAAAAACTGATTAGCCTTCAATGGCTTAGCGGTAAGTCTGAAGGGTTATGACACTAAAAACCGGATTTCGATAACAATGGTGTAGCTTTGCGTTTAACAACAAACAAACAAAAGTACTGATCACGTTTTATTTTTTGCTGAAATTTTGCGATCTTTGCCAGTTACAAGTCAAGGATATGATTTCTTGAGATACTCTTTACATCTGTCACGAACCGTTACATACCAGTTTGGCTGAGGTTCATTCCTCATTCTTGCATCATAGAAAAAAAAACTACCGATAAAAGAAAAATAAACTGGGCGATGGGAAGTTGTTCGTTGAAAAAATTCATATTGTTCTTTTAAAATATAGAGATTTATTTTTATGTAGTCTAAAATGCTATGAATCTTACATTGTTTGTCTATTAGATTAAAATTTATATATTTGTGTATTTTCGATCTGAACAGGTGAGGTGGAGGGGGGGGCACAGACGATTGAGGGCGCCTTGTTTGCTTTGTTAATCGGAATCATTGAATACAAAACTGAAACAGAGACATTCCAAGGTAGTTATGTCTCTATTCCCCATTCAAAGGGGCACCTGCCCTTCCTATTTCTATATCCATTTCCGAATAGAAAGACAGCACCGCTCGACAGCATCCCTTCCTATGTGGCTACTCTTAAGCGAATAGCGGGATTGGCTGCCAAATGCAGGGTGATTCAAAAAATGTTTACAATTATATGGGTCCGTTGCAGACGATTACAAAGGAAACAGTGGTCGTTCAAGAACAGGAAGATCTCCTGCAACGTTTGAACACTTTCAGACATGTATATATATTTGTGGAGAGCAAGATGAGACTATGTGAAACGTAGGAAATAAACAATATAAACCCATACAAGTGTTAACATTTTTTTTAAATCAGCCCCTATATAACGTCCTACAGTTGGAAGTGTGGAACAAATGCAGAGGCAAACCAGTGCTCGAACCTAGGATCTTTCGATCTGCAACCCGACACACTAGCCACTAGGATACGCTTGGCTCGACGTTGTCATTGAAATAACGTACAGAAATTCCGTAAACGTTTGAATGATGTATAGATATTCTATATCAGAGACAAAAACAGTTAACTTAAACGGTATCTGTTGAATGTTAATGATGTCAAAAACTTCACTTAGTCCGTAATTATTATATCTTCTAGGAGAGAAATGAAAATAGCCTTACCTATAGATTGTAACTAGCATATCTTTTATGCATGAGATGAAACAGCTTTACAATTTTAAAATTATTAATTCTTCCGGGTCGGTTATGAAAAGTAAGTTTTAAACACGATGGGTTTACTAATGAACTTTAGGACTTAGGCCTATATAATTCAGTGAATAGTGTTCATGTGTCACATCTCGTTACCGAAAAAAATTCATATTCCACACTATAGGAAGGTGAATTATAAAAGTGATGGTCAACCTCACTATTCGATTACTGTAGCCCAAGAGTTGAGAGTTGGTGCTGTTGACTGGCTATTTTCCCTCTACTCTATCATTAAACAAACGAACGAATCGTCACAATAAGTCATAAAAAGGTTCTATCTTGATTTGTAACTTAGGTCATTCACTCCTTGATGAACCGGTTAATAAAAAAGGTATGTCTTGAAATTTACGGTTTCCTACCTTTTATCATATGTAACCTACAACAGTTTGTCATACATGATGTTAATGTAAAGTATTAAATTTAATGTATTCCAGCAGAAATATAAAATTATTCCTCTATCTTCTATCCTTTATCTTCATTCATATCTAAAGTAAGAAGACCATAACAATTTCATTTGATTTTCATCTAAAAATATGAATCCGTAGCTCATCGTTCAATCTTCCAATCAAAGTAGGAAGACCATGTTTGATTATTCTATAATTCAGAACTTTATCCTTTGTTCTTTCATGGGCATATTTAAATCATCCAGTTATCTTTTCTAATTTGCTTTCAATCGGAAGACCATATTCCAATTTATTTTGCTATCAGAAATAAAAAGGTTACACTACATATTTTCAGGTCTTGCTATGTGTCAGTTTAAAAAAGTATATATAATAATATATATGTATATGGGTTCTGATTCTTTTTTTTTTTCGCTAATTGTCGAAATAAATGGCTTTTACTTATATTTCTTAATACTATAAATATACACTATGTAGTTATTGGGCCTAGGATTCTTCTACAGTAGGTGTCTGTGACATGTTAGCGATAAATTAAACGATGAATAAACAGCAAACACTTTACTTGTTTTTAAATAATATATACCGATATATATATATATATATTCGGGACATATTAAACGTATGTATAATTAAGTGTTCACACTATAGAGAATATAAGCATATCGTAAACGTTATATCAGTATATGTATAGTTCTCCTCTTCTTGTCAAAAGTCCACTTAGGCCTGTTCAGTTACCTTAGAATCTCAGTTGACAAGCCGAACTATTTTCTCTAATACTATTGCAATATTAGTCTGGTGTGATTCACTTACGATTGACTGAAGATCCTATGTTATTTTTGTCCAAGTGCACTCTGGCTGATTCAATTACTTTAGAATTTCGCTTTGACGGAATAAATTTATTTTTTCTTATTTCCTTTTCCACTGTTAGTTTCACACTAATATATCAAACATTAGACCTATGTCAGTCGTTAGGCCTATCACTTTTACGTTACTTAACACCAACTATATTCTCTTTGCTTTTATCTGTCTAATACTGTCTGTCTGCTGCTTCCCGCTCGTCTCACGCTATTTACATAATCGTCTGGCCACTTTCTATATTCTCGACACGAATTAGTTATTAACAAAACCTTCTACAGTCGTCTGCTTTTAACTCTCATTATAACAACTTAAAAATAATAAAATATTCACTCACAAATATAAATTAATCACTAATATCTCAACCAAACTGTCTTTTATATCATGACACTATTAAACCAGAAACATGAGAAATCATTCATTTTTTCCATTCAAAATGAGGAGACGTATACGTCTTCCTTTTATCTTTCATGTGAATA